AAAAACGCAACAATCACGGGTCATTTTGGATTTGTGTTTGAGGAAAACTCGGTCAGGAAAATCACATGATCATCGTGACGTCATCGTTTTTGAAAAGCTTCGTTTTCAAAATGTTTTCCGTCCACAACAAATCGCAAGGCCGGCGTTTCCAAATTCCTCTGGTTTGAAGAGCGTTTTCGAAAAGTTCTTTTTTCGTGACGGATCAGTGTAGACGGTTAGCCTAACCGTATTTTCAACTTCCTTAAGCGTAGTTTACACGGGGCCTTATGGAAGGATTCTATGGGAAGTGTCCATCATATCTTTATATATATTAGCCTACATTGCTCTCTTTTTTCTTGCTAAGTTCTAACTATATGGTTTGATTTATTCCATCTCGTACGCAAGCTGAGCGCAGTACATCTCATAATACAGGAACTGCTTTTGCCTTAAGGTTAGCAGCGTTTTGTAGAACAAACATTCAATAAGTAGTTGTTTGAGTGTATTATAAACATACAGTAAAGTTTTGCAATTGATATTTGTTCCTTCTGTGGTCTTATTCGTAACACTGACTAAAGTAATATCCATCTAAAAATTATTCGCAACCAGGAAAAAAAATATCCATTATCTCCTTGCTCGAAAATTCATCGCCAAAACATAAAAATTATTCACCTCTAACACGAAAATCTACCTGCAGCTACTCTATATTTTAAAAATCTACTAATATCCAATTTTTTTTTACTTCTTTTCTTGGAATATGTGCCTGAACAGCAATACATCAAAAATTTTACACAACACGCTCCCAGTTAATACGTTTTTCTTCCTTTCATTCATTTAGGCCAAGGAGAGCCAAAAACCTGAGGAAAGAAAAGGCACTTTAATGAGAAATGCAATCCTCAGGTATGGAAAAACAAGGGTGACAAAGAAATTCCATAGGGCAGCCACTGAAGTTAGAGTCGTTTATTAAGTAGGAGGTTTTGAAGGTGGACTAAAAATGAAATATTAAGTTGCGAATAATTTGCTGCTTTGAACTGTTCTGCATTTAGTGTTGTGTTCTTGGCACGTGGGGACTCGAAGTCTTTATACTTTCTATGGAATTCTTTCTCTGGCTTTGCACTTACAGAGCAGTTTCAGTTCAATTGGGTGTTGTAAAACTAAAACCAAAGTTATCACTCTGGCCAATCACAAAAGCCACAGACAATCAAGTGGACCAGTCAAAACTAGAAGTAAATACATGTATGTGTAGCTGACGCCAAGCGCGGGAAAACGTGTTTGAGGGAGACACGATTGGCTTTGGTTTTACTTATGATTGGATGAAAAAGTGGCGCCATTTTTTTTTTTCATGGGTAATGATTGTGCTCATTAGTCTTAACCACAAATCTCTGCAAAAGAAGCAATTACCACGGACTATATTTTCGCTTTTACTTTGAGAACGGGCAAAGTCTGTATAAGAGCCAAGAGGCTCATCAGGCCGGAGCTTATGCCGGTTTCCGTAACATGAAGCGACTAGGAGTATTTCTACTCCGCCCTGGATGCGATACTAGTCTATCGCAGGGTTACCCCCAGCATTAAATTCGCCGGTACTCAGTTATACACCTGGGTGGAGAGAGGCACTGTTAGAGTAAAGTGTCTCGCCCAAGAACACAACACAATGTCCCCGGCCAGGGCTCGAACCCAGACCACTCGATGGAGCGCACTAATCATGAGACCACCGCTCCTCCACTCTTTGAAAATAAGGTTGTCGACATTTCGTATTCGTTGAATAATAAGGTCAGGCAGCTTACTTGTAAATATGTCCATCTAACCAGTCTTTATGCTTTAGTCCATTGAACCAAGAGTCAGGTAATTTACTGGCGCCCAGTTTACAGCCCAGCAAAGCTCCAGACACAGCGCCATTAGTATCAGCGTCCCCGGCCTGCAAACGAAATAGGTCCGCACGCCGTACAAATGTTACGATTAAGTAAAATGGAGACATTTTCTTAGCCAGTACAACATGAGCTAGCTCTTGCAGTTACGTTTAAGCTATTTTAGCCTTTGACACATACTCACCTCAAATGCGACGGCCTCTATGGCCGTTCGGAAGTCATTTTGCCTCAGGGACCAAAATCCTGCACCTAAACATTTATATGTGTAACCTATTTTCCCAGCTTCATCCAGATTAAGATCATCTAATGACTTGGCAAACATGTGTTGTTTTAATTCCTCTTCCTAGAGAGAGAAAGAGAAAGAGACAATGAGGACTGTTCATTTAAATTACAGAAACTAGCCTGCGAACAGGCTCCCGGCGAGTGTGAAAAAAGTTTCGCACTCGTCGGCTCACTTTGCTCGCCGAATATTTTTTTCCGTCCTCGCCGGGAACCTGTTCACAGGCTATACAGAGACCAGAAAATTTACAACTGTAAGATGTCTATATGAAAGTGCAGTGTAGTTAACCGACAAAATGTCCACAAATGACCAATGTGCCGATGTAATGTGACCGTCGACATGAATGGTGACAAACGAAACCATGCACCCAATGTGCTAAATTACTTACAGTATTGTTGGGCACATAAATGTTTCGTTCAAATTGTCTACCTTATGATCTTTTTGACCTTTCAATCTTTTCTCCATTCTCGTGCTACATGTAGTCTAGACAACATATTGTTCCCACATGATGCCCTCCTAATCAGTCAATGAGTAAAGTTGAATCCCGTTATTCCGAACACTCAGGGGAAACAAAAAACAACTTGAAATAACGGGAGTTTTAAGCAACCGATAGTAAATGACTGAAGGACAAATCCAAGGAAAATTGTTTTGAATTTGAAATGACGGAGAATTTGAAATAGCCCAGTTCGAATTAGCGGGGTCCAACTGTACTTGAAATATTTTGCATACATGTACATGTAACAACACCTGTTTAACAGCTTCAAGTATGACGGTGGCATGACTATATATGTAACTATGTATCCATATTTTGCCGCATGATGTCCTCCTACTAAGTTAATAAGCACAATATTTTGCATGCACATGTGACATCACCTGTTCAACAGTTTCAAGTGTGGCACAGGCATAACTATATGCCTCCTGTATGATTGCCTCAACATCAAAACAGTTGGATTCCTTCTCAAAATATTTTCCCTGTAACATCATTGCAACTGCTGTTGTTGTGGCAACACATGATGCAATGCATCTTGGGTCAGCATGTGTGACCTTGCATGCTGCCTTGGTGTTTTTTATTACTTCCTCGATGTTGCCAAAGTCATGAATTCCAAGAATAGAAGTTCGCATCACACCTCCGTTTGGAGCAACTAAGTGACCAGACTCTTCCCACACATACTCTGCTGCCTGGATTTAATAAGTCGCAACCATTAATTACTAGTAAATTCATTTTCAATCAAAGAGTTTGGTTATAAGAGGCTACGTAATGTGCAAACAATTATAATAAATTAATAGTCTTTTCTAATCCAAGGCATGTTTCTTTCACCACTCTTTGAACTTGCTGTAACCTTTAACTTACATAATAAGTGGTTCCAGAAAATATCCATATCCACCCAAACGAGGGATATTGGAAATTCAAAGTGGGAGGGTTCTCAAAAGCCAAATTTTTTGAGGAAAGTAAGAACCAAATATAAACTTTCCACAGGGTTTGGTGGGAAAGGGTGTGGGGGNGGGGAGAGATTCAAACCAAAAAACCATACATGGGAGGGATATGGATATTTCCTGGAACAGAGCAAGAAATTAAGAATCCACATATACTCCACAGGGGTGTGCTCTAGAAGGGCCCAGGTGCCACAGGCAACTAACTTTTGTCTTCGGGCGACCGAAAACCTCACTTTTTTCATTAAGCGTACAAGTCTGGGGACCCAGGATTTCATGGACAGGAACATTTGGGCTTCCCGTAATTTTTCTTAGATCACAGCCTTGCGCCATAGGCCCCCTTTCAAAGGCAAGAAAGCACCCCTCTTCACTCCCTACAGCCCCTTTACAACTGAGGGAGTTGTCAATCTGTAGTATCTGCACAGGGACCCTGCTTTCTAGGGTTAGTCACTGATTCTATACCTGATGTGGATTAGTAAGGAAGTTAGGATGGTGCAGAACTTTGTATGTGGTGCGGCCAATACCCATTCCACCCATGTCCCCAAGTTCTGCGAAACCTTTCCTGCTCCAGTTCCTCATCTTTTTGGCAAAATCCACAGGCTCCATCTGCAAGTCAAGGGAAAAACTCAGTGTCAGAAGTAACAAGATTCTAATTAAGGAGATTTGTAACTTCTACTGAAAATGCAGTCACTAAAAGTAGTTTTTGCTGGAAGTTGCATGTTTAATGTTTAAATGCATGGCGACCAATACCATTGACCTGGTCTTTCCAGCTCTTTTTATTAAAGTTAGTTCACATCTTCCCACATGCGTCCCAAAAAAGGGGGGTATAGTCTCTACAATAATCATGCACCCCCATCTACAGGTACTATTTCTGATCCGCCTTCTACTTAAACTCTCAATGTCAGCCCTGCTGATGAATACATGCAGACTAACCTTGCCATCGTTGTCTAACAGCGAAAGTAAGATCAAAATCATCTGATCAGAATCATCAGTCCAGTCTCCAGTCTCCCATCTGCTTCGATGAAAGTCATAATTTTTCATGCCATATTCTAAATGTGGCTCTTTCTTTTCTCTTTTCACAAAGTCCATCAATTTCTCTTTTACACCATCTGATTTACCATAAATCTAAAACAAATGATTCAGAAATTTTTTACCACCTGCCTGCCTGGCCCAGGATTCAAATTGTTCCCTGCATAATTTTAATGCCAAGGTACATGTATACTGTGCTCTGACTATGTCTTACAATATAGAAATTGGTGGTTTCAGATTTCAGATTTTCGTCCTTTCCTATCAGGTTGTTCTTGTTTCCAGCTGTCGCATTGACACTGTATCAGCCAACGAATTGGTAGTGTGTCTGCTGACGTATTGGTTAAGGGTCAGTTATTGCATTTATTAGGTAGTGTGTTGGTGATGTGTGGGTATTGTGTGACTAATTCACAGGCCGACACGTTGGCTGACGCATTGGCAGGATGGGATTCTCTACCTTTACTTAAGACTCTTACTATCTCCACAGTATTTCCCAGTTATATTTGGAAAGTTCTCAGTTTGGAGAATTTTCAAATATCATGACTGGTACAAATCTTTATTTTCTGGTACTTCAGATTCCATGTGATTACTCATTTATCATATAGTTAATATTATGCCAGATGCACATTAAATTGCACTGTAGTGCAAATTAAATTAAAATATTAATGATAAATTGGCCTTATCTCAGCCAATCACAATGCTTATAATAAATTTTGTCATTTAATAATATATCACAAATGAGCCTATAAGTAATAATTACATCAACTCACATGGGCAGCTTCTGATTTACTCATAAACTCGGTCAACAGTCCTATGGCATCTCCAATGCAGTTTCCATAAATAACTCCTTTTACGTGATCCACCAAGTCCTTCTTTTCAAACTTAGATTCGATGTTAAAAGAATGAGGTGCTCCTGTTTTGTCTTCCTGCAGTCCAGATGGGGAATGAGATTCTTCTGAACTTGTTACAGTTGAAGTTCGTTCTTCATTCTTGGTGTTTCCTTCCATACAAGTAGTTTGGCTGGCTGCAGATTCCGTACCATGATCTCTTTTGTGGCTTGTCGAAATAGGGTGTCCTTCATCTTTGGTGTTTTGTTGACTGATGTTGGTGACAGAAGATTCTGTTTTACCTATGAAGCTTGCCTGGTCATCAGAAGGACACTGTTACAGAGAATGAAATAATGACAAAAGTTATCAGTCATAATCTATGTTAACAAAGTAACATGATTCTGATGGCTGGGTCATGTTTACAACTAGAATGGATCAGGCTCATATTCCCAAGGTTGCCTTGTAATGGACAACACCTGGCAAAGGAAACACCACCTGGCACAAAACTGTCATGGCTGAGCTCACTGAGGTGAAACTCACTTGGGGTGAGGCATAACACATCATACAAAATAGGGATAAATGGATAGGGATTGTTGTTGCCTTATGTCCAACAGGGAACAGAGAGGATTAAGTAAAGTAAAGTAACTATGTTCTTCCATTGGATGGTTTAATATCATCATCGTGGTAATCGCTATCATCATCATCATCATCATCATCATCGTTGTCGTCGTCGTTGTCATCACCATGCATGCCAAAGTCCATCTCCACCATTGCTGATTATTCACGATTACTCACTGCACCAGAAGGTGGGCATTTCTGAAAGATTCTATTCTCCACTGCCTTCATTGTCACTAGGTACTGATTCTGCAATATCAAAGCCGTGCTCCCTTCTTGTCATAAAGACTGCTGGTCTTTTATGTCCCTGCCAATTCTTGTAGTACAGTGTATGGAGTAACTAAGACTACATGAACTTTTCTAATCCCCCCAGAATTGGGAAACCGCTTACTGGCAGCTTTCCCTGACATTTCTTTGGTACCTACATGTATTTATTTCAGTTCCTGTTGAAGAGAGGCATTGTCAAGGTAATTAAAACTTATCCAAAAATGCAACAAAAATGACCCTCGCTCAGTAAGTACTCAGCACCACACGGACTCGATCTGGATCAGGAATCCAAAATGTCCACTGCACCATTAGCCCACCCAGCTCTCTCAAAATTTCAACATGGCTGATTGTTTAGTATTCAATTTCCTGTTAGGCTGTGAATCAGTCACACACCTCGACCATTTGAAAGCTTTGCATAAGAAACTTTCCCGAGGCCATCTGAATAGGGACAACAGTTTAATAAACTAATTTAAACGTCCAGGGTTTGAACTAATATCAAACCTCTTACAGTGCGTATTGCTGTACATGTAATTATAATTATAATTATAACTTGGCGAATATAAGTTTAAGGTTGAGCCTAACTTGAAACACTAGTATTCTAAAACCTCTGTTTAGTAACCCGGTTATGCAGCTGATAATTTATGACACGAAACCTCCCTGACGACATTTCAGTATACATTACACCTGAAATAAGGCAACTGCTTTCTTTTAGTTTTGCAAGCATATTCAAAAGCTGGGTTTTTTTTTGAAAAATTCGAGTCAGCATTTCCTTCCTCTCCTCTACTTACTGGTTCAGTATCGATTCGTTCCTCACTGTCTGCCGGCTTGTTTTGAACACCATCCATGCTAGACTGGTTCGGTTAAGAAAAGGACTCAACCACTGTATATCCTGTGAAGCTGTCAAATGTTTTATTCGCAAAAAATATCAACTAATGGACCGAGAATTTCCTCTACTTTCGCTTTGCATTGTGGCGGAAATCGGCTTTTCAAAGCGTTTACCCCGTCATGTAACAACATGTAACACTTCGTTTGATTTAAATGGTCTCCAGTCCCCAGAAACTCGGAGATTCACGTGTTTCCGTCTCAAAACCCATGTAAATGGAAATTTACTGTACTTTCGATGGCTCTGTTCATTGGCATAAAACATTTTCGAAAGAAACGGAACTTCTGAAAGGGTAGTTTTCCAGTTGGAGCTTTTAGGAATGAGAATTTGCGTTCTGACTTCCGCCAGTTCCAGTTCCAGGTATCCCGATAAATTAGGACAGTCATGACGTCATGAAGCTATTGTTAGCAGGGAAAATGGCGGACCTTTTATGCGGACAAAGAAAGTATGTTGTTTCCAGTCTCGCATAGAGTCTGGCCAGCATTATCCAGGACTTTTTGTGACCAAACGTTGAGAAGGAGAATAAGCGGCCATTTTGGTAGTAGGAAGACGTTGACTGTCTTCTAATCATTGAGTTATTTTGGTGTCAAGCGACGATGTAGACGCGATTTTGTGGCCAAATATTAAGGTTAGTAAAGTGTACGCGTTATTTTCTAGTATTCACGTATTTTTCATTGAGCTGTGTATATTTTTTACTGGTTCTAGTGTTGTTAAAGTTCCATCATGCCAAATTACACGGTTATAAACAACGCCGATATTTTGTAAACTCTCTTTGAATTTGAGGCGTTACAAGTGTACCTGAACCGCTGTTGTTGTAAGGCTTGAGTAATGCATCGTTCCT